TCTGTCTGGTTTTTGTTGGTCTTGGTGCTTAAGTGTTGACCTTAAGTGCTACTATTGGTGGGGTTGTCTAATGTATACGGTACCTTTCCATCACTTTGAAACCTCAGTGATTGCCAATTCCTATTTTGAAACAGAAAATAGAGGCGCTCCTATATAATCTTTTCTCCTGAGATTTAAGTGAAGTGTGTGTAGTCATTGAAGCTGCAGGGTGCTGGAGACTGATTAATATTACTGTTTGGATAGACCATCCAGTTGAAAAGACTAGGTGGATTACAACAAATTAAAAAAATAATACAAATGCAGAATACCTTATTATTGTAAAAACAACAGTTATAATCTATCAAGAATAATAAATTAACCCTACCCAAATATAAAAGCCATTGCGGCTTAAATAGGATTGAAAACCTAGTGAAATAAAATGGACTATAAAGATCTTCTAAAAACTATGAGGGATTTCTGAGTGTAAGAACTTGGAAAGTGCGGGGACCATCAGAGGGAAGTGAGTGTCTGGTGAGAACATTTCAAGAAGCCTATTAAGAGGCCCTGTTCTCTCTTAAGTAAGGGGCAACTATGACAGAGAGAGCTTGTCATCTTCTCCCTGTCCCCTTTACTTAAGAGAGAGCAGGGATTCTTAACAGACTTCTTGAAATGTTCTCAGCAGACAAGCAGATTCAATTTTGACAAGGTGGCATGTAGTGCAGAACCATAGAGCTTTGTAAGTTATTACCAGCACTTTGAAATAAGAGCAGGAAGTTTATTGATAATATTATTTCATTCTAAAATGCAAGACGTTGGTCTACATACTCAACAACCTTGCAACTAAATTTGTGCCATACTCCATAAACCATACTCTAGATCAGTGCTTCTCAACCTTGTCTGTTTTTTTTTCTCCTTTCAAATCTCATTTTTCCCCCCTTCCAGGTCTTCTTCTTCTTGGGCCATATCCATCATCGGATGTCGATGATCATGTTGGTGACCCAATTTTTATCAGCAGCCGCAAGAAAAAGTGCTGCTGAGTTTTGTCCAAACCAGTCCCTTAGATTTTGAAGCCATGATGATTCTTCTGCCTGTTTACCTTCAATCTTTCCTTGGAGGATTAAGTGAAGGATGTCATATTTTTCCAGGTGTCACATCACATATCCAAAATATTCTATCTTTAGCTTTTTAATGATTTTGATGATTTCCCTTGGTTTTCCCAGGTGACTTATCACCTCCTCATTTCTGATTTTGTCAACCCAGTTTATACGTAGCAGCCGTCTGTAATCCACATTTCAAATGCTTCTAGTCTCTTCAAGTGGCTTTCTGTTAGAGACCAACTCTACTCCGTAGAGCAGGATAGAAAAGATGTAACATCTGACAAGCCTGATTTTAAGTCTTAGTCTTATGTCGTGACTGCAGAAGATCTTTTTCATTTTGAAGAATGCTGTTCGAACTTTCTCTATCCTTGTCTTTACTTCAGTGATCATTTCCCAGCTTTCATGTAAATTAAAACCGAGGTACATGATCCTTTCAACATTTATCGGTGGTAAATTAATGGCTTATTTGCTGTTTAATGAAAGAGAATTGCTTTTGAAATTTGTTTCAAAGAAAAACAGAATTTTAGAAGCCTAAATGGGTGTTTCTCAATCTTGGCTAGGGAGTTTTGAGAGCAGAAGTCCACATGAATACAAATAAATTAAATAAATATATATTTATATTCATATTTAAGTAAATAAACAAAAATAAAATAAATGTATATGTGAAAAAGTTTTTAGATCATACATTCATTGTTTCATCTGGATGAGTTCAGGAAAGCTGAAATTGTGGAAAAGGGGAAAAAAAGCATACCTTTAAAACTTTCTGATATTTTTCTTTCTCTACCTATATTTAATTTCCCTGCCAATATTAGCATTAATTTTGAGTCCTATTTGCTTGCCTGCTTCAAGTTCTTTCACAAATGCTTTTTTTCCATGTTCCTTTAGCTAATATTCTGTTCAGTGAGATATGAGATATTTAGTACAGATTATTCACAATCTTTTTGAAGAAGGAAATGCTCTGATTCAGAGAATGAAGAGGCTTTTCTGTCTGGCAGACAAGTTTTCCCTCCCCCTGCCATCTTTCATAGATCTGTCTAGTGGCATCAAGCATTTTAAGTGTATATCAATATTTTCATTACAGAAATTTAGTCGGCAAACATTGCAAGGGGGAAGTAATTTTTCAGTTGGCGCCTTCTTTGGTGGCAGCCCATAGGGTGTCATGACTAAGATATGACCGTGTTAATTGATTAGCACACTACAGATAGTGCCGTGTGCGCAGCGCATTCTCCTAAACAGTGATAAATGGCCACCTTTGTGCAAAATGGTTGAGGTGGGACCTCAGCCTCTTTTGACAAACCAGAAAATGAAAAGATTACTACTAGATTCTATTGACTGGCCTGGTTAGGGCAGTTGTGCGTTTTCCCAAAGGTTAATTGGACTTGAACTCAAGAAATTAAGAGGTCACCTAAGGTCACAGTGGCAGCAGGCAAACTTTTAATGTGCAGCTAATAATATCTGGCAGGAAGAAAGACAACATTTTCAGGAAGGGAGGAGGACAATATTTTCACTTCCCAAATAAGTTTACAGAATTTACCTTTAGAATAATCTATGTTTGGTTGATAGCTTGTTGACAAGCAAATAGTCAGAAACACCAAAAAATCCAAACCCTTCCTCCTACAAACTTATAATAAAACTCTTCATATACAAGGCAATCTATCTTTTCAGGGATATGACAAAAGAACATCAAAAGAGCTGTGCTGGATCATGCCAACAGTCTTCCGAATCTGGCATTCTCTGTTGTAGTGAGTCTCAGAAAAACAGATAAGAGGATTGCCATGTTTTATTCTTGTTCTCTAGCAGTTTATCTTTGAGACTGTATACCAGGGGTGAAATGCTCCTGGTTCGGACCGGATCGCCCGATCTGGTAGCGATGGCGGCGGATGGTTCAGAGAACCGGTAGCAAAAATCCCTGCGCTCCCCCCCCCATGCCCAGCTGAGCCTCACGATCATCAGAGGCTTTTTTAAAATTATTTTTAAAAGCATTTTTTCTACAACCTCTTCCGACAAAAATATGCTTTTAAAGTTAAAAAAAAAAGTCTCTGATTATTGCGCGGCTCAGCTGGGATCGTCAGAGGCTTTTCAAAGCATTTTTTTCTGTAACCTCTTGGCTGAAGAGGTGGTAAAAAATGCTTTGAAAAGTTTCTGACGATCCCAGCTGATTGGCAGAGGGTTTTCAAAGCATTAGAAAAAATGCTTTGAAAAGTTTTTTTTTTAAAAAAGTTGGCCACGCCCACCCAGTCACATTACTCCCCCATCAAGCCACACCCACAGAACCGGTAGTAACAAATTTTACATTTCACCCCTGCTGTGTACCATGACAGCCTGGGGCACCACAGCAAATTCAGAAGGATACCATGCAATATTTTAAATTTCTGAAGGAAACACAATCATAGTTGACATCTGTTGGTCACCCCACAAATTACCTGCATGGAAAAAAATACTGAAATATTAAGGGCACCATGAACTAAGAACATTTTGGAAGCTCTGCTCCAACTCCATGTTTGTTCCCCTTTCTTCTCCTCCCTTCTTGCAAGAGAAGAAAACATAATGGAAAAGGGAATGAGGAAAATGGCTGACAGCAGTTTTCTTCCTTTTCTTCCTTTGAGTCCAAGAGAAAATAAGCTCACCTGGTATTCCAGTCCAGCAGAATATATGGACCTGAAAAGAAGTGTCTAATATACAAAGCATAAAACATAAGAATAGAAAGAAATATTAAATCAGCAGATGGAACAGACTAAAATATTCTTATCAGGGTCCGACGGATGCCCTAATTAAATCATAAGACTCGAGGCAAGCTTCAAAAGAAATCCAGTTATTTATTAGGAGTTTCATGTCAGCACATTCCTAAGTGAAGCCAGCTCTGACCCTACATAATTTACGCTCCAATTATGACCCTGTTTTTCCCTCCTCCCAAGATGTGTCATCAATCACATTCGCCAATGGAGCAATTTCGCGAGTTGTAGAGGTCACTCCCCTCGGCTGCTGTAGGTAACCCTGGGATACAACCTTGAGAGAAATAAGAGTAGAATGTGCATCTGTCTTTGGCTGCTGTGCCATTTCGCCAGTTTCCCATCCCCCCCGGCCTATGGCAACTCAAGAGCAGGCCAGGGATGCTTTGCAAGTTGACAATTCTATTAACCAAACCCTTCAGGAAGCCATTGATGGATCCAAGAGTTCTGGACAATTTTCATCTGGTTTCTAAATTTTCCTTTTCGGTTACAGTTGTTGACAAGGTGGTTGCACTACTTTCAAGATCCCAGTAGAAGATGATCTAGACCTGTTTCAGTCAGGTCAGGCCAGGAAATAGCACAGATAAAACATTGATCACATTTTTTGATGACCTTCAGTCTGACTGGGATGGAGGTTTGAGCATCCTAGTTCTTACTGATTTTTTTAAAAATAATTTTTATTAAACAGTTTGTCTTTAAAAACAACACAAAAAACAATCACACATATATAAAAACAAAACATGTCAAGACATAACCTATTGAACATTACGTAACATTAATGGTAATTTTACAGCATTTTGTATTAACTTACATATTTTGCTTTGTAGTTCTCTATTCTATCATTTCTATTTACTACTCAATAGTAGAATAATCACATTACTCCAACATATATATATATATATATATATATATATATATATATATATATATATACACACATACACATACACATACACATACACATACACATACACATACACACACACATTATAATATTCATTGTTCTTATCTACACATTTATGTTCGTTTATATTTACATCTCTTTATTTAATGTTGTTCAGTTACATTAAGTTTCATCAATATTAGGTTAAACATTTCTTGTTCTGATTTTTATTTTCGAGCCAACTGTACATTTTATTCCATATTTCATAATATTCTGAATCTTCTCTCTCTTTCAGCTCCATAGCCATTTTATCCATCTCTGTGCATTCTAGAATTTTCCTAATTACTGTTTCGTCTGAGGATACATTTTTTTGTTTCCAATTTTTTGCGAATGTGATTCTTGCTGTGGTAAGTAGTTCTTATTGATTTTTCAATACCATAGATCACAGAGAGAGAGAGCAGCTTGGGCATGGGAGGTGCAGTATAGCAGTGGTTTTTCTCTTTTCTCTATGGCCAGTTCCAGTATATATTCACAAGTTGGTAGACCAGTCTAAAGCCTCTAATTAGCAGGGCATTTCAGAGGTAATTGTTCTTATCTTTCCAGTTTATCAGCTATATGAAACCATTGGCTAAGGGCGTGCTCTGACAGAAATTCAGATATTTACAGTATGTTGATGATACTCAGCTGTATATTTTAACTCTTCTTCAGCCAAGTTGAATCAAAGTCTTATTCTGGTACCTGGTGGCCCAATCCTGTTGGGTCTGGATGGGAGGCAACAGGCTTAACCTCAATTCTGGTGAGACTAAGTGACTATCTAAGTATAGTTCTTCCAGTCTGAAGGATTCTCCATATTTGTTTTGAATAGAGTGACCCTTTTTCTAAACATAAATGGTACATGGAATCACAGTTCCTGATCAAAGAACAGGTGGCAGCAGCTGTAAGGTTTTTTTTTTATGTAGATCACATTATCACAGCCACCTCTTGACTTTTTTCTTTTTACCATAACCTGTAAACACCTTTGGATATGTCCATTTGATATGTGGATATGGGCTGTCTGTTTCAATTAGGATGCATATTTCTTATATTTATTATTTATGCACATTTTTTTGGTATATCTTATTTTAGTCTGTATGTTTATTTATTTATTGCTTATTTATTGGTTCGATTTATATGCCGCCCTTCTCCGGAGACTCAGGGCGGCTTACAATGCGTTAAGCAATAGCCTTCATTCTTTTGTATATACCTGCTTAGTAGGGCTTTCGCCCCCCCCCCAAGCGGTGTTCTTTTTTATACAAAGTCAGTTAATTGCCCCCACAAACCGGGTCCTCATTTTACCTACCTCGAAAGGATGGAAGGCTGAGTCAACCTTGAGCCTGGTGAGATTTGAACTTGCAGTAATTGCAGGCAGCTGGTGTTACTTAACAGCATTTTAGTCTCCTGCGCCACCAAGGCTCTTTGCTTAGTCATTTGGCATTGGTGGGCAACCTTATGAAACACACACACACACAGAGAGAGAGATAATATATATATATCATATTTTTTGGAGTATAAGACGCACCGGAGTATAAGACACAGCTTAGTTTTCGGGGAGGAAAATAGGGGGGAAAAATCTGCCTACCAGGTATTCATAGCTAGCATCCTTAGTCTGGTCAGCTGCAGCACATTAGTTCGCTGGTTTTGAGCACACGCGCACGCTTTTTATCCCCTGCTTGGGGATAAAGAACAGCTTCTAAAGCACAACTGAGAGGGAGCAAAGAGAAAAGCAGGCAAAGCACAGAGATTGCTTCACTCGCTAGCACCTTGTTAGGGCTGAATAAAAAGCTTCTGAAGCACAGCTGAGAGTCGGAGGGAGCAGGCAAAGCATGGAGATCGCTTCACTCGTTAGTGCCTCATTAGGGCTGGAAAAAAGCTTCAAAAAAGCTACAGTTGGAGTATAAGATGCACCCAAATTTTCAGCCTCTTTTAGGTGTGTGTGTGGGGGGGAAAGTGCGTCTTATACTCTGAAAAATACAAGATATATATATCTTATAAATAGTGTTATTACTACTTTTCATTATATATATTAACAAGAGAAAAATAAATTATAATCAAAGTAATTGGAATTGTAATCCGTTGTAGAACAAAACCTGATTAAATCTTGTTCTTGTTTCATTTAGATACACCCGGGTAAACTGAGAACTGACTATAGTCCTGGATTTGGATTTGGATTTGGAAACGTGCTCACACGTACATGTAAACAGCCCCTCTTTGAGAGAGATGGGGAGTGTAGCAATGTGAAAAATAAATAAATAAATAAATCACCTTCGTGCATATAGATAGTCTTTGATGTATGACCACGATTGAGCCCAACATTTATGTTGCTAAGTGAAACATTGGTTAAGTGAGTTTGCCCCATTTTACGACCTTTCTTGCCACAGTTGTTAAATGAATCGCGGTAGTTTTGTTAAATTAGTCCAACAGTTAAGTGGATCTGGCTTCCACACGGACTTGGCTCATCACAAGGTCACAAAAGGGGATCAAGTGATCCCGGGACACTGCAACCGTCATAAATATGAGTCAGTTGCCAAGCATCTGAATTTTGAACACATGACCGTAGGGATGCTACAAGTGTCGTAAATGTGAAAACAGATCGTAAGTCATTTTTTTCAGTGCCGTTGTAACTTTGAACAGTCACTAAATGAACTGTTGTAAATCAAGGACTACCTAGACACACTTAATCCCAATTGATCTTAATGCTGGTGAAACTGAAGATTAAACACCCACTTCCCCTTCAGCATTTATTGCTGTTTTTCTTGAAGTTCCAGGAACTATGTTTAATTTGGAAATGAGTGCATTGGCTGGTAGTGGGTCCTGCGCTGAAACGAGTTTATGTTTGATCAAACTTTAAAAAACACCTTCAAGAAAAATGTGTTAGTAACAGCTGCAAATTGGCTGGGGAAGAGGCAGTGAAATGGTTGAGAGGAGTTTGAAGTTCCCATTGAGGACAGCAGAAGGTATTCCAGAGCCTGAGGATTATGGAATTGCCATTCTCTACATTAAGTACTAAGTTGAAATGACACTGGGAAGAAAGGAAGCTTCCAGATAATTAAATCAGGTCTCTATACATCTTTATGGTGAGAGTCCGTTCCTGTTTTCAATCAAATAAGAAGGTAAGAAACTAGACTGAAATTTTTCAAAAGAAAAATTCATGCCAATAGTCTGTGAATACTGATTTTATAATATAGGGAAGGTCATATGAGTGGGGGGAAAAAGAATAATTGATTCTTTCCTAAATGATTTCAGGCAAAGCTTCTCAAGAGGATGAATATACACTGATTTTTCATGAACGAATGCAGCAATTCCTGTTGGTCTGTCAATTTTTTTAAAAAAATGCAAGGGAGATTAAATAAGGAGAAAAGAAATTTCTGCTCTTTTGGGAAACATATATTTATATTCTAAAAATGGAAAAAAATCCTCCAGAAGTATAGGAACATAGGTTGTGAATATATATGAACATCTGCACGCTCATGTCATCTGCACCTCTATAACTGTTTGGTTTGGCTCTGCAACCCAACAAGACAGACACAGACTTCAGAGGATAATTAGAACTGCAGAAAAAACAATTACTACCAACCTGCCTTCCATTAAGGACCTGTATATTGCATGAGTCAAAAAGTATGATTGTAACCTTGTTCCTGATAGCCTTAAGATTTATATTGACTGTTTCCCTATGACTATCATTAAGTATTGTACCTTATGATTCTTGATGAATGTATCTTTTCTTTTATGTACACCGAGAGCGTATCCACCAAGACAAATTCCTTGTGTGTCCAATCTCACTTGGCCAATGAAGAATTCTATCTATCTATCTATCTCATATGTGTGCATGTGTGGATATGCATGCAGAGAGACACATACACAAATACATAAAACCTTCATTCTTTTGAGTACCGTACAAAATGCAACAGAATTGCCAAAGAAAGACAATAAAGAAAGTAAAATGATTATAAAATAACAAGGAGAGTTTAATTAATAATAAATTCATATAATAGATCAGCCATTTAAAATGCTTGAACCCAAACCAACCAACTAAACAAAAAGCAAATAGAATAAATTGTCACCACCAGATACATCTTCACAGACAGAGCATTTCATATTTGGAGTGCCACATGGATGAAAATTATTCCCTTTGTTGTCACATAAATTGCCTGAGTTCAGGCAAGAAAAGAGCTTTTTAAAAAGATTATCAGAACACCTTGGCTGATAAATATTACTTCGGTTATTTCAGTTGGAGACATATGAGATTTCAAAAAAAGGGGAAAAAACCAACCAATGGTTCTAGTTCCTCCCTCCCTCCTCTCTATCACCTATCTATCTATCTATCTATCTATCTATCTATCTATCTATCTATCTATCATCTATCATCTATCATCTATCAATCTATCGATCATCTATATCTCTCTCTCGCTCTCTCTCTATTTATCTATCTATCATCTCTCTATCTCTCTATATCTATCTATCTATCTACTTCATCATCATCTATCATCTATCGATTGATCTATCATTGATCTATCAACCAAATATCTGCATTTTATGGCTCATTTGTGTATTTTTACATCAGTGCACATCTGTGGCTCACATGTCTTCTCACTGCTGCCCCTTTCTCTTGCTGTGTTTGCTTCTTGAGACAGAAAGAAAGAGGAAAGATATAAGGCAGAGTCAAAGATACTTTCTATCACCCTTCATCTCTCTTTGGTGCCATCTGCATGTCTATTCCTTGAGTGCTGCTTATTCAGAATGACAAAACATGTTTATTAGCACTGGATTTCTCTTAACAACACCCTATCATTCTATCATGCAACAAAAATGGGCTTGTACCCATCATCTTCACAACCCTGTTAAATCAGTTTTACATTGACATGTCTTGAACTAATAAGATTACTTCATGATGAGGCGAATAGAAGTGGAGAATAGAAATAGATGCTTTGGCCCATTCTACAAATTCCTCTTTCTTTTACATTCATCATTCAGCAACACACACACACACACACATACACACACACACACACACACACACACACTGACACACAAAGGGTTAGTGGGATAAAGAAAGAAAACTAACATGGAGTTTCTTTTGTGCAGTAGGGGAATGCAGCCACTAGATGACACCAAGAGATAATTTCTTTAGGTGTAATCTCTCAGATTCTTTATTCAACTAAAAGGTGAAATTCTTGCTGAGACTATAATTAAGATTACAGAGGTATGCAAATTAAGTAATGTAGCAAGTATTAATCGTTATCTTACTTGGATATTAGCAATTACTGTCCTAGAGAGCAAAACTGGTAGGAATTTCTGAGCATTTGGACAAAGGATTTCAAATAGTTCTTTCCATTGCTGACTAGCATGTGCTTTTTAGTACTGTAGATTACTATAGCAATGGCATCCAAAGCTTGGATCAAGAAGAACTGGAGAATTCTACAGGAAGGAAGAAATCAAGGAAGGAAGGAAGGAAGGAAGGAAGGAAGGAAGGAAGGAAGGAAGGAAGGATACTCTTAAAGTTTGTTTTACACAAATAGACCATAATTTAAGAAAACTGCTGTGTCAATCTTTGAGGATGGACCTCTCAGAACAAATCACCTGAAGCAAGGGATGATGATGATGCTATCCATTCAATCATGTCCAATTCTCAGTGACTCTATGGACTAGCCCTCTTCACATTTTCCAATCTTGTACGGCTTCTTTCAGTTATTTTATGCTCTGGCTGGGGTCAGTTTTGATGGTGTCTAGCCAATGTTTTTGGGCAGCCTCATTTCTTTTTACTGTTGGCTATTCCGAGCAGAATTGCCTTTTCCACTGAGTTTGATCACATGATATAGCCAAAATCAGTAAGGTGGGAGTTTGTCATTTTTGCCTTCTAGTGCAATGTCTGACTTTGTATGCTGTAGTAGCTATTTATTTATTTATTTATTTATTTATTTATTTATTTATTTATTTATCTGTTTGTTTGTTTAATTAATTAATTAATTAGTTTGTTTGTTTGTTGCCATCTCACCACAGAGTGACTCTGGGCAGCTTACAACATTAAAATGAACCCATAACTATATGACTAAATATATCAAATCACATTAAAATTACAATTGCATTGCACTCGTGTCAGAAGCGCTGAGGCATTTCCGGGTTGAAAGGATTATCCAGTTGCCTGGGGGATGCCCAGTTGGGGTCTCTTTTCATGTCCCCAGCAGGTGCTGGAGCAAAGGACGGGAACTCACTCGCCCCATGACAGCAAAAATTACAATAAAATGCAAGTTATAACTAAAGATGGGGAGGAAGTGAGAAGAATATGTTGGGGGAGGGAAGGGAGACTGCTATTAGTTGATCATCCACCTCCATTGTAAAATTCCTCCATTGGGGACCAAGCTAACTGACTGGCTCTTGTAGAAGGTCAGGAAGGTGGGAGCCAATCTCACCCCAGAGAGCAAGATATTCCAAAGGGCCATGGCCATGACAGAGAAGGCCCTTCTCCTGGACCCTGTCAGCCAGAATTCCTTGAAAGATAGGATCCATTTTCATGATCCAAGCTTTGCAACTTTAGGTAGCTATGGGATACACGACAGTGTGGATTAATCTGCATTTAGTTGCCAAGTTGATGGCCTTGCTCATCATTGCTATGCAACCCAGTGCAATTCTGTGCTTTATTTTTGGACTCTATTCACTGCTTTGATCAATCTGTGATCCCAGGAAAGGGAATTCTCACATGCTTTCAATCCTGTGAATTGTTATTTTGACATTTCTATTCCTCTCAGTAGTCATGAGCTTGAACTTTTAAATGTTCAGAAAGAGGCCAACTTTCTTGTTCTCTTCTTTAATCTTTTTGATCAGATGTTTTATACCTTCTTTGATTTCTGAGAGGACAGTTATCTCATTTGCATATTGAAGACTGTTGATGTTCCTTCCTCCAGCTTTTGCTCTGATTCTTCAACTGCTTTGTACCACTTTAGCATAAAAGTTGAATAAGAAAGGTGAAAGAATGCAATCTTGCTACTCTCCTCTCTATATCTTGAACCAATTAGTATGTCCATATGGTGTTCGTACAGTGGCTTCGGGAAAGAAGGAAGGGAGAAAGGGAGGGAGGGAGGAAGAGAGGAAGAAGAGAGGGAGGGAAATCTGAGTTCCTCCCCATATTTCTTAATTTTGAAGTCAATTTAAATGTTAATTTAATTTAATTAATTTAATTTAATTAATTCAATTTATATGCCACCCCTCTACGAAAACTCAGGGCGGCTCACAATACATTTTAAAAAACATTTAAAAATTAAAAACATTAAAAACAT